TAGTAACCATTCTTCATGGATCTAACTGTGGTTTCGACGGCTTGTCAATATATCTTGTGACCAAAGTAATGTTAACGAATTATATTTTAGTATGAAGACTTCATCCAGTAAAGAAGGGGGCATTGCGGTGCACAGTCTGCTCTAAAGCCAATTTGGCTGAAGTAGCCCTATAAAGTTACGAACTGCTATCAGCTTTATTCCTACAGTATTTCTTCAGGGGGTTTTTTTTTAAATATAATGCATGTTTCTGAGCAGGATTACATGAGCGATTATAAAAACTAGCATTCATCTAGAGAGTGACTAGGACTAAGCCTAAGAACGAGGAAGTCCCAGGGAAAGCAAAAACTGCTCACTCTCCAGAGATGCGTACCTTTTTTAAGGCTTCCTGCACGTTTACAAGAGAAGAATATGCTCTCCGTAGCTCTAGGTGCGGTTGAGCGCTCCTGAACTGCGATGCGCCACCTTCCCTCCCCCCCTCCCCCTCCCTCCTCCATACTGGATGAGGCCGGAATTTCATTAATTTGTTGGCTTTCACTGTAGGCAGAAAAGCAAAGGTGAAGGGACTAGGGGAGGAGGAAGGAGAGGATGCGAGCAACCAGTGCATTAATGAGCCTTCCGAACAGGGTCAACCCTATGTTGCTACAAGTAGCAACGGGGGGTCGTATATTTTGATGAGTTTGTAGAGGGGGGGTCGTATATTTGATGAGTTTGTAGAGGGGGGGGTCGTACTTGCTTCGATTGTAAGAAGTTGCATGAGGATGAGGGAGGAGTGGCGCGGGAGAAAATTTGCCGTTTCAGCGCGCGTATATATACCCCTAGAGAAAATGACTAGAAAATGAACAAATAATAACTATACGAAATTTTACGGTTTTGGAGGAAAAAGTGGGCGGAGTTTGGTGGGTTGAGTGGTACCAGAATTAAATACTATAGAGAGGAATATGGTGGTCGAGGGTCGAAAAGGGGGTCGTACCAAATCCACCTTGGGGGAGGGGGGTCGTAAAAATTTTTCGAAAAGTAACAACGATAGGACCGACCCTGCTTCCGAATCTCTCTTTGAATTACTATCGCTAAGAAATGACGCTGATCTCTTTTCTTTTTGCACAAGCGATTTGGTTCACCCAGCTATAATCCATGCAAAAATTAATTTCTGTGAATAGCACTAATTGCATCAGGTTGCCTCTAATCACACGCTCGCCCTTATTTATTCATTGAATCATTTAATTTTTATTATTTGTCTCTGTGGGAACTTATAACCGTCTGGGAATTGCTTCATTCTTAATTAATCGTTGTTCTTAGCTGCAGCTCAGGTGACGCCACGACGTTGCACACCTCGTAGGCCTCGGAAACCATTCTGGAAAAACGCGTCGGTGATGCTGGTTTTTCAATCTCTCTTTTCCGTACTCTCGATAAGATGGAAGAGGTGGTTGAGTGGAGGTAGGATCGGCGTAGGGGTCACGGGAATTTTCTATTTTGACCCTATCCCTGGTGGTCCACACGATCCTCACATGCTTTAAGGGCGGAATTTGCGATGAAAAGGCAGCCCATTGAAATGAAGGTAGAGGTGGTCAGTAGTATGGAATGAAGAGAAAACTCATGAGGAACGGCCCGTAACCCCTGAAATTGGAGCCCTTCTCTGGCATTTGAGATCCTCACTGGTGTGACTCTCATTGGTGCTGCCCTCCTCAGCGCTTTCTCTGCATAACTGCTTCAGTCAGACTGCCGAAAGGGTGGAGAGCAGGGTCAACCCTACGTTGTTACTAGTAACAACGGGGGGTCGTACCTGGTTGAGTTTGTAGGAGGGGGGGTCGTATAGGTTGGGAGTTGGGAGCGCGCGGGAGAAAAATTTGCCGTTTCAGCGCGCGTATATACCCCCTAGAAAATGAAGCAGTGGGATTATAAAAGGTAGAAGTGGGGTAAATTGGTTGAAATTTAGGGAATTTTGGTAAATTTTTACTGTTTCAGAGTGACTATATACCCCCCCCCCCCCCGCTCGACGGCATTTTTGGAGGAAAAAGTGGGCGGAGTTTGGTGGGTTGAGTGGTACCAGAATTAAATACTATAGAGAGGAATATGGTGGTCGAGGTGTCGAAAAGGGGGTCGTACCAAGTAAAATTTTTCAAAAGTAACAACGATAGGACCGACCCTGTTTGGACGGCTCGACGACGTGGTATGACCTCTATTAGGCGCTGGGAACATCTTTTGGCTGTGAAACGTGCATCGGCCGCGCCCACAAAAGATCGCCTTGCTTAAGCAGATTTCTCTCTTCAACTCGACCTTTTCGTGACCTGACTAAATCACTGAAACGCTCACCTCAAACCCCTCTCCGACAGGGATTCCCGACCACGTTCATGCTTGCTCCGGATGCCGACCAGTTCGCGGTTCAAATAAAACCTGTCCACGCCAATCCTTGCATTTCTCTTCCCAAAGTCGGATATTTGTCCGGATTCTCCAATTCTTCTGATTGGACAGAAGCCTCATATCAAACGTAATCTTATGAAGACAAGTGTTTAAGCAGAAGTTTGTAGATGTTTTACCCATACACTCAATGAGAATTCTATGATAGATATATTTGGTGCATATAAATAGGGATTCCAACATTGAGAAATGCCTAACTAATAAAGGAGCGTAACCCAAAAAACGAGCGGTGAAATTTCGTCGCCAACTCTAGCCCTACTTCGGCTAAACCTCTAATTGGGTACCTTCAGCGCTGCCAATGTCCATCGGCCTCACTGCTGCCTTAACTTTAACGACACGTCCCGCACTCTCACACGGAAGAGACTTGTTTTTCCTAAATTGTGCCTCCATTTTCATGATTCAAGACTGGCCCTTCCTACTGTTGGATACAAAAAATAGTTCTCTCGTTACCACTAATGAAATTATTGGTAATGTAGTAACTGTTAATGCAAATTTCTAAGTAAGGTTAGCAGGTTGCGCGACAAAGCGTGCGTCGTCTTTTTCCCTTCTCCAGTCCAAGGCGAATTAGCCGCCCTTACTGCAAAACCTACTGTAAAAGAATGATTTACCGTAAAGGACCTTCTACCTTATCAACACCTTAAATCATTGATCTTTATTTAAGCTTAAAGCACAAATGGAGAGCTCTTTTCCCTCCCCCCCCTCAAAGTCATTTCACCGGAAAAATTCACCATCTGAACAATTCTCTGGACAATTGGGATGTTGTCAGTGTGCACGCTCATAAAGCGTTCTACTTGCCTTCACCTCATATAACATGATCAGAACTTCTTTGGCCCGATTTAAGTGGGGAAATATTGGGGGGGGGGGCGTTCAGGCGTTCATCTTGCCACGTTCCCAATCTAATTCCGAAAAATGGATCCTATTAAGTTATTTGCAATGCGTCCTGGTGTTGCCGTGGTAACTGCTCATCTCATCTTAGTTAGCTAATCAGCCGCAAATCTTCCCTCTCTAGGTATTCTCTGCCTGGCAACGGCACGCAACCTCTTCCAGGAGCGTTACCGTAGATAGGTGCGTTCCGTCATGATGTGCACGTTCCCATGCTCCGATAGGCTAGGCATTTTTAACAATTCTTGTAGACCTTGTGCTGAGTCTTCGTGAGTTTTATGGTATGATTCCATCTTACAAAACAACTTCATCTCCGCTAATCAAATCATGAGGCTCTCAGCGGTTTATAATTTCATTAAAACGAAAGATTTTCTGTCATGTTGAGATATATGTATGTACGGCTACTTCGAGAATGTCTATCATATACTCATCCCTATCACAGTCAGTCCACAGAATTCGGCGGCTAATACGATTATCAGTGCTCTGCTTCCTCAGGCCCTCGTTTCATCTCCTTCCTGACCCTAATCTTCCTTATCCTTACCTTACCTCGAACTATACCCATCCTTCCTCTGGGTGCTCCCTTAAACAGGAACAGATATTACAATTTAACCGGAGAACTTCTCAATTAAGGCTCTCATTCAAGGCAATTGTGTACGGAAACCGTACACTTCAATCAGGTTCAATGTGTACGCATCCATCCCTCCTATAAGTCATTAGCTTGAAATCTAACGTTCACGAAAAGAGTGAAAAGAGGTAAAGTTGCATGTGTTCGTGAACTGTCTGAAAAGTAAGAGAAATATTATTCGTTCAAATTCGTGCTGAAGAATTGTCATAACTGTCGGCGAAGGGAATGCTTCCATCTGTTTTGAAGTGTCGTCATTAGAATGTCTTTTGAACGCTCTATCTTTTTCGAGGGACTTTCTCTCTTCTACCTTCTAGTAACCTTTCACGCATCAGTTCCCCAATCGCCCTTACTCTTCACCTAATTTTATGCAATGACACCACCAAAGGTGCTAATCTCGCTACTTCTTCAGTCCTTCTGAAAAATGCTTAGAGTTGTTAATCTTCTGTAATTCGAACCGCCTTCTTGAAATCATATTCCTTAATGCTGGCTACTACAGTATGGCCACCGAAACGAAATTAATGTGACGCAGCTTGACTTTGCTTGTTCTCGTTCTCTTGTCAAGCATTGCTCACGATTCATGGCTAATATAAACACTCATGCCGTTGTTCTACTTCATTCATTCATTCCTGGATTTTTCTCATAATTTCTTTAATGAATTAACGGTTGAATAGCTTCCCAGAGACATTAGCTGTGACTATGCAAAACCGCTTTTGACCAGCGTTTCAGGGACGTCGTAATGGTCTATGGTACCTCGACGACCTCGTTGAGCTCGTATGTTTCCGTGGGAAAATCTTCTGATGTCGTCGGTGTAGAAGGCTGTCATGTAACGTTTAGATAGATTAGAATTTTTTAAGTGATTTTTTGAATCTGCAAAAAAAGCCTATGCCCATCAATCTCATGTCTACCTACGTATAATAGTAGGGAATAAAATCGTGTCGTGAAAAGTGAAGTGATCGAATTACGTTGAATCTTACGGCCAAAGATCATTTAGTTTAGATCACACCGCTAAACATTTCCTGTTTTCAGAGTCTAGAAGGCCTGGTGACTATTGCGTCCGTCTTCCTCTTCCCATCGAGACATGGAAACACCCGAGAGTTTCTGGAAGCAACTTGTCCGACACGCCGAGACGTATGGGCTGACGATGATCGTCTTTACAGTTGCTGTGAGTATCATGCTTCAAATCCACAAAGATTTACAAAAGTAGGAGAAAACTAATAAACAGGTTGAGTCGATTCACTAACTTTTCTCGCGCCATGCACCTCAACCCCAGTCGGTATCGCAGGTGACAGGACGCGTGCACAAAGATATGCACGCAATCAACTACAAGTCTGCTTTTTTGCCATTCCACATAAGTTTAGTGCCGACCCCGATGAAAAGAGGGCTCGCTCGACCTGAGTGGGGTTCGATTTAGCACTGGAGCGCCGGCAGCTCACAATGCTCTAACTTCACCCAAAGATGAGTTTAGGTTATAAAGGGGTTACTGAACAGGCTCTATCAATTTTGTGAGAAGGGAAATTCAATCGGAATGCAACGAGACAACGACAAGTGTTAGTGAAGGACTTTCACAGTAACGCTTATATTGGACGCTTATATTGGATGAAATCGGCCTACGAGTTCATCACGGTGGTATAACTGGTAGCACAATTGCCCGGAAAGCAAGAGATCCGGGTACGAATCCCGGCTGGGGCGAAAGTTTTGCCCACAACTCAGCATTCTTGTGATAACTTTCGCAACGCGAACTGCGGCGTGCAGTTATCCAATAAAAACAAGTCAAAATGGTAACATCTAGTAAAGCTTTCAGCCTTGCGGTTGAATGCCGAAATCGGCCTACCGGTTCATCACGTTATACGTGTGAATGCTGATAAGCTATGGTAACTTCACCATCGAAGCTGAGTTGGGGTGAAATGGTGCCCCGGTGGTGTAACTGGTAGCACAATTGCCCGGAAAGCAAGAGATCCGGGTACGAATCCCGGCTGGGGCGAAAGTTTTGCCCACAACTCAGCATTCTTGTGATAAGTAACGCTTATACTTTGGACGTGGAGATGGTGCAGTAATAAGCGAAGCGAAACACCTCGTCTGTGAAACCAATGACGGCTTCAAGCTAAGGAGGCTATCTCAATAGTTTCCCCGTTGAGGTGTTTTATGACAGCACAGACACAGAAAAGCCGATACCACATAAAAATCATTGAAGAAAATACAGGAAAAATCGAAGAAATCCGCGAGTGTGTGGGGTTATCGGGCTACATCTCCATCTCCTACACAAAATATCAATAATCCGCAGAATTTGTTCAATTGTTTTCTAACCTTTTCGTTCTTCAGAGCAGTCTGTTGATCGGCTACATTTCCCATTATGTTGTGAATCTTCGTCCAGAATATCAGCGAAAATTGCTGCTCGAGAAAAAGCGAAAAGAGGAGGAAGACGAGGAGCACCAAGGTGAGACTTTTTTCAACAATCTTATCGGTTGTTCAGGCGGTATGCCATGATCTCGTGAAAGAAATAAGACGAAAAAAGTGGCAAAAAACCCTTACTAATGCTCTCAGTTGGGCGCTTCTTTCATTAAATTTTGAACATTGCGCGAACTTGTGACGAAGAATCACTGAACGAAAGGACGAGAGAAAGGCATAAAGGAAAAGCACAGAAACCAATAAGGAATCCCCAGCAGGCTTCTTCAAGCTCTAAGGTCGGAGATCCATTTTCAGTCACTCCTAAAAGGCGAAACCAAACAAAATGCATGTCCTTAGAAATGGTCCCTTCAATAAGCAGTAAGACTGATGGCAGACTTTACCAATCGAGCGATTCGCTATTAGCGATTCGCTAGCGTCCGCGGTCGCGTGCGGTACCAGCAATGGCTGATTCGCTGGCCGCGACGCGACCGCGGACGCTAGCGAATCGCTCGATTCGCAAAGTCTGACATCGGCCTAAGTCTTGTAATATATCCTTAGTCAAAAGAGCTAAAAACTTTGTTTCACAGATGCCACAAACGCCCGACTCAATTCAAGCGAGCAGAAGCAAGTGGGCATCGTAAAAGGAATGATCAACACTGATCTTGTGAGTTGTGCTTCTCATGGTTACCCTTATCAAATGCATATAAGCTGTTTTTACGTACTCATCCTTTACCAACTGCTATAATTGCAACAATTTCTAAAGATCTATGAGCAGGGTCAACCGTCACGTTGGACCGATTTCGAAAATTTTACGACCCCCTCCCCCTTCTAGAGGGCCTCGATACGACCCCCCCTCAGGGTCAACCCTTCACCACCCTCGCCTGCCATCGCCATCATGGGGCTCATTCTATAGTATTCGATTCTGAGACCAGTCGACACAGCCCAAACTCCGCCCACTTTTTTCCTCCAAAATTGCCGTCGGGGCGAGGGAGGGGGTAACGAAACCGCAAACATCCTCTCACTTCCCCTCTATTCCACTATTTCACCCATATTTCCACTGCAACACTAACACGCTACCTCGCGAAATACGACCCCCCTTTTCCACCCCAAATACGACCCCCCCACCCCTCGTTGGACTTTGTCCAACGCACGGTTGACCCAGCTTATGAGAAGGTTGTCATCCGTCATGAGATGGCTGCAAAAGCGGTCTCCCTTGCAGCAGTAGAAGGTTTTAGGTTATGGAGAAAAAAGGGCGGAGTAAGCTGGCAGATCAGATGGAGTCGTGAAACTTGACCCAAACTTTTCTTGTATGATTTGTGGATGATTTCGGATACCATTCTATTTTGTTGAACCAGTATAATTGAATGATACAGAATCTTTATAGGTAGCCTCATTACGAAAACCCCTATGCGACACTGTCAACTACAAATCTGCAAATTCTGCACCTGGTTTGTTTATTCAACGTCTTGAACTTGTAGGTATACCTATTGAAAGTCTGAATAAAAGTGACATATTGGTAATTGAAGACCTTCCCAGTAAATGAATATTCTAGCAGAAATGTTCAGAGATTCCTAGACAACCGGTACTGGCAAAGCAGTCAAGCAGCGCAAACGCAAGTGATGACGATGAGGACTTGGTGAGCAGCCGTTCTCGTATGCTTTTCTGTCGTACCTAACGTCTCGAATTTCTCGTTAACATTTGAGGTGATCGCACACGAAAGTGGAAAGAAAAGGTCAGCAAGTCTTCAAGAGGTATGTAGCAAGTTTTCAACTTAAAGACAAGGTAAAAGTTTTTTCAAACCACAACATTCCACTACACTTCTACTTATGCGGTTTATGACTCCTAAGATTTGCTGACACTGATATTCCCATAAAGAATAGTAGATTACAGCGTTATATAAGGCTGCCGCAGGTGTTATAGAGTTTGAGGACCAGGCATCGCCATGACGGTGCGCTACGTGTTTGCACCCTCTCAGCGCGACAGTATAAACTCTCACATCCCAGTTTTTCACGCATGTCGAGTGACTCGCTCCATCCCCAACCCCGTTAATTGCCTACACCCCATTCTCTTCTCACCCTCCACGGATTACCGACTCCATGGGTCGCACTAAGATGTCCTCAGACTTGGCGATTGTGCCGAGCGATGGGCGATCGCAATCGCCCGCCGCCCAATCGCCAAGTCTGACAGACATCTGAAGGACGCGAACATGCATCGGACCGTGGTAGCCATCGCCACTCTCAAATTATTCTTTTGGTTTACCTCTTGCAATCATTCTCCATCAGTCGCAATATTACCAGTGCTCTGGTATGGACAAGTAGTATCACGCAATCAGCGCGCTCGTTCGCTCCATTATTTATACTCACGCGTGCGACATACGCAGCCCAAAAGTGACGTACATAAGTTGCCACTCCGCGACACTCGCAAGAGTCGCGTTGAGCCTACTATCCTGCGCCCCTTGTGTTCCCGCTGTACATACATCAGGTTGCTCGAGCGGGCATCACTATCAGTTTCCCCTGCAACGTGTAGAAATAGTCTTCCGAGTTCTTCAGACTGCACCTATTTGGCTTTGAGTACTACTCTGGATGTGATAATTAGAATGCATTTATCATTCGTTACGAATTTATCTCAGCAATTTCAGGGACATCAACCTTCCGAAAA